CGTTCTTAAGATGAATAGTAATAAGAAAGCATTAAAGGACTTAGATTTATGCATATAGGATAAGCAACGAGAATAACCTGGAGTTTGGTGGCAGGCCTCAGTAATTACAGTATGACCTACCTTGATGCGGTAAAGTCATATGGATGGATAACCGGGTCCATGAAGTAAGGCATAGCAATATTCGTAGGTTCATCAAAGTACCGAGCGAAGAACTTCAGTATACCTATAGATGCCCAGAGGGACATCTTGTCAAGCTCTGTATATGTTTAAAAGGTGAGGCCTAGAGACTGGGTAAAAACTTGAGGAAAACCTGGAGGGAAGAGTCGTATAGGCGCACATACAAGGAAAAATGTGGTACAGGCAGCATGATAAAGGATTCCGACTACAAGTCGTGGTGTGAGAAAGAGGCCTAAAGGAGGAATGTCATGGCCTTTAGATTGTTCACAAAGCAGTTGGCTAGATGGCAAGAACAATATTTAAATATTCGTATGAGCTATGGGGTATGAGACTGATAAGCGCATCAGTCAACATTCGAGGACGAATGTTCCAAAGGAGGGAATGATGTTACACCCCATGTTTTCGTACTTAAGAGTACGTCGTAAGTCAATTGATGTAAGCTCAGAAATAAAATCATATTTGGAAAAAAATTATAAAGTAAGTTAATCATGTTACCGTGGAAGTTAATAATATTTAAGATCATGAATAACAAGTACCAAGATGGTTGGAAGGCTTAGAAGCTAAACGAATTGAAGAAGATAAGTTTTGTCGAAAGTCGACAAGTTTGGTGTTACACCCTGTGCGTCCTAAGGTGACGTATAATGAATATGAGACTTGTTAATCATGATTTAATGAGTTTAAAGTCATAATATGACTATATATGATGTTTAGACATAAAATATAAAGTTTGGGAAAAATTGGATTTAACTTACAGAAAAATCGAGTTAAGATTTGCCTTGTAACGAGCCGTTTTGAGAAATTAAATTCATATGCTTTATGGTGTCATTTTGGACATATATCATACCAAAAGGAAGTTCTTGGAACCTAGTTTCCAACGGTCCAAACCATTTATTCATACGACATCGTAGTAGAGAAATATGGATTTTTAAACTAGGGTCCCCAAGTCACGTTGCTGCACTTCGGAGAAACTAGCAGGTTTATAGACCAAGTTGCGACGCCGTTTTCCACCAATATATTGAGAGTTACATGGAGATCTTTATATGTAATTAAAGCACTAGCTTCCAACTCTGCAAACCATTTGCCTATACGATATCGAAGTCGAAAGATACAAGTATCCGAAGTGGCACTGCTCAAGCTGCCAAGCAGGCAGCTTACCCACCTACTTTGAGAATTGAGGCGGTGGGCTTATAAGTTGTCTTTATCCATTATATTTCGTCAATATCCAGAGATCAATTACTGCAAAACATTCTTAAACCCTCCAAGAACTTGTCCAAGGTTCCAAGAACTAAACTCAAGAGAAATCAACACAAATCTTCATCAAAGGTGTTAAAGACTACAGGAGAATACTTCTATGATGTTGTGGTGTAATTGAGGGATATTGTGAGCTAAGTTGAGATGGAGTTTCGAGTTGTAGCTGATTTCCAAGGTATGTATAACATCTTCTTGATTGTGCCTAAGGTTAATCTTGTGTTGGTTGTGTTAGTTGTGTTGTTTGAGTGAAAAAAACATAAGATGCACTTGAAGGAACATGAGATACAGTTGTCTTTTTGGTTGGACTGTTTTGTGGTTAAAAATATAGTTTGTGGTGGATGAAAGTTGTAAGAAATAATTTGATAATATTTTGGCTGCTGTTGTTAAGCTTTCCTAGGTGTTAATTAAGTTGTTGAAGAAGAAAAGATGAAAAACAAGTGATTGACGATAAAAATTAAGGTGCTAGACATATGGGGCTGTTTTGGAAGGCATTTTGTGGAGGTTTTAAACTAGAAATAATATGGTACATATATGTATGATGCTCTGAAGTTATAAGCTAATTTATGGAATAAGAGTTGGATTCAATTTATATCTTGTTATGAGTAAAAGAAACGAGCTTGCCGCTCAATATGATTGTTAAGATAATCGGAGAAACTCATATTGGATTATATTGTTGTTGTTGCTGGTGTTGCTTATAGTTGTTGTTGTTGGGTTGTTGATGACCCTTAGTGGTCTTTGGGATGTATTAAAAATAGCGGAGTTGATGCCCGATTTTCCTTAAGTCATGCGACTAGCCAAATACGATGGTACGACATTATATGTTAACGGCAATATCATTTCACTTGTTGTAGATGCAAGAAGTTGTGTTGAGCTTGGTTGAGTAATAAGGAAGAGATCATACAGGTATGTTAAGGCTATCCCTTCTTTCTTTTTGGCATGATCTATACAACATGAACGAAACGAGCAAATGCACAACTTCCATAAATGACTCTATTCATAGAAATACTAGAGATTCCTATGCTCTTCATTTTCCATATGTCTTATTATTCTATCGTCTGTTCATGGGTCCCAGAAAATACGTAAATTGATAATGTTTATTTCATGATATTAATCAGAGGCATAATGGTCTTATGATGTGCCAAGATATTTTATTAACGTATTTCATATGCATTTCATGCATTTATACATGCACATTGACCCATGACCAGATGGTGTTATATATATATATATATATATATATATATGGGGTTATGAGAAAA